GAGCCCTGCGTCGGGCTCTGTGCTGACGCTCGGAACCTGGAGCCTGCTTCAGATTCTGTGTTTCCCTCTCTCTCTGCCCTTCCCCCACTTGCACTCTCTGTTGCTCTCTCTCTCTCTCTCTCTCAAAAATAAATGTTAAAAAAATTTTTATTTGAAAGTCCTTCTGGCTAGAGGACACAAGAACAGTGTCTCCCTTACTCAGTCTTCTACATCCTACAGTCTTTCCATAATAAAACCCTTGCGTTTTATGTTAATAACATTTGGTGTCTATCTACTCTCTAACATGACATTTATGCAAAAATAGAATAGTTGGGGGCACCTGGGTGGCTTGGTCTGTTAAATGTCCGACTCTTGATTTCAGCTAAGGTCATGAGATTGAGCCCTGCGTCAGGCGCTCACTCTCTGTCTCTCAAAGTAAATAAATACACATTTTTTTAAAAAAGTAGAATGCTTGATTTTTCCTGTAAAATGAAAGTCACTGTGGGATCTTTTTTAATTCCTCCTTTGTACATCCTATTACCTCTCGCAGAGGGCTCTCAAGTTCTCTTGGCAAACTCCTATGTGTCCTTCAGTAGCAAGCTCAAAAGTTGCTTTGTGGGTATCTTTCCCCCTATCTGATTTGGGTCTGGCAGGGCTGGTGACTCTTGTTTTCCCGCTGTGTTTAGGAGCAGTTATCAAAGCAGGGCCAGTATCTTTCTGCATGTCTCATGACCACCGGACTGTGAGCTCTGGAAGGACAAGGGTTCCATCTTTTCTCCTGTTACAGCCCTTGAACCTGGCACAGCTTCTGACACTCAAGAGCAAGGGACACTCGTTTGCTCAATATAAGAAGACAGCTCCTTGCCTGTTGTGTTGGTCTTGGGGTTTTGTAAGAGCACAGAAGAAATTCCTTGGATCTGCAGGTCCCACTGATGCTTCCACCCGCACCCACATCAAGACCAAATAGGGCAGCAGCCAGGCCTGGAGGGGCCAGCCACACACAAGGGAGACGGTGCCTTCTGTTTTCAGTAACTAGGAGTCCGTGCACGTCCCTGCCCCCAGTGCAGAGGTGACATGTCTGGACTCTTGGCTGATGGACAGTGCTTTTGATTCGGCCCACTTGCCAAATTGTCTTCTACCTGCCAGAGGCAATGTAGTACAGTGGTTAGTGCTCATCCTCTAAAATCAGGATTTCTGGGCTTTAATTCCACCTTCACCACTTAACAATTATGTGTGATCTTAGATGAGATTGCCAACTGCCCCATTCCACAGTTTCCTCCTGTCTAAATGGAATAATGAATAAATGAAAATGCATAGAAAGTACTTGGTATAGTGTCTGGCAACTCACTTACCTGGGTCCCAGTAGACCTGTGTTGTTATTGCTCCTGTTACCTTAAAGCCTTCCTTACAGCACACATTTTAGCTGGAAGACAGCAATATTGATTGATTTTCTGGGAGTTGGGACTGTGTATTAGTGTTCCCATAGTCCCAGGTACTGTGTGTTAGGCATTTGCTTTGTGCCAGCATTTGGTTCATCACTTTACATAATCAACACATTTGTGCCCCACAGTCACCCTCTGAAGTATTATTATCTCCTTTTGCAAATGAAGAAATGAGCTTGCGAGATTGAGAAGTGGACTGTCAGACTGCAAATCACATGCACGCTTGAGATGGAGAAATTGCACGTTGTAACCAGTCGGTTTCCTCTGTTTGTTGTTGTCATTTTCAGTTTCCTTTGTTTTGAGGTTCTTGTTGTCAGCACTCTCTGGGGCCCTTCATGTTGACATGACAGATTCACACCTCCTCAAAGATGAGTCTTTCTTTCAGATGGATTCATGTGTGCAGACGTTGAGACTGAACGTTCATCTGTGCACTTCAGGTGCAGGGCTTTCCATGTGCCTCCTCTGGTCCCAGCCTGTCACTGCAGCCACACGAAACACACTCACTTTACAAGATTATGACATCTTTTCCACTTGGGCTATTGATAAGCCAGGTCTTCTCCATTCTGTCATTTCCAGAGAGAGGAAGTGCCTCTAAGACGGGGCAGGGTACACAGAAAGACACTTGTCAATACCAGAATCTTGCCTTACTTGAGAGTTTGCCTAAGGCTGTTCATGCTTCCCAACTGTGCACCAACAGAAACTGGTAGAGGGACTGGAAGGGAGACCCAAATGTCACATGTGTCTGCCTCACCCCAAGCTGGGAGCTGCCCTTGTGGATTTGGAGTGTGGTGACGCCCAAGTTAACCACCCATCCATCAGAAGGAGCGTGGGAGCCTCACTTCCACATTTTACAGGCTGTAGAACGTTTCTCCGTCTGGAAGTGTCTAGGATTATAAATTTCAGCATTCGAAGGATCTTTGTGGATACTGTGAGGATACTCAAAAATGTTCTCAACGGCAGGAAAGGATATAGGACATGGCTGGTAGTTTTTTCTTTTTTAGCTACTTAAATAGTGGGAGAGGATGAGATGGCGTATTTTTTTTTTTAATTTTTTTTTTTTCAACGTTTATTTATTTTTGGGACAGAGAGAGACAGAGCATGAACGGGGGAGGGGCAGAGAGAGAGGGAGACACAGAATCGGAAACAGGCTCCAGGCTCTGAGCCATCAGCCCAGAGCCCGACGCGGGGCTCGAACTCCCGGACCGCGAGATCGTGACCTGGCTGAAGTCGGACGCTTAACCGACTGCGCCACCCAGGCGCCCCGAGATGGCGTATTTAAATGCCACTTCAAAATGGTACAATACAGGGGCACCTGGGTGGCTCAGTTGTTTAAGGTTCCGACTCTCGATTTCGGCTCAGGTCATGATCTCTCAGTTTGTGAGATCGAGCCCCACACAGGCTCTGCGCTGACAGCATGGCGTGAAGCCTGCTTGGGATTCTCTCCTTCTCTCAGAATGAATAAGTAAACATTTTATTTTTTTAATGGTATAGTAGATCAGCTTGAGGGTTCCATTCTTCACTGATACTAAATGGCAGGAAACAGTTTGGGCTGGGGAAGAGAGCTTGAACTGGTGTTCTCCAATTCTAAATATGTTTCACTTTCCAAAACAAAGTTTCAACCCAGACTCTCATTTTGCCCTTTATTTTTAGATGGTTAGAATGGTTGGAAAGTGTAGGCAGTCATCAGACAACTGTGTTTTTTGTTTTGTTTTGCTTTGCTTTTATTATTTATTTTTGAGAGAGAGGCAGAGTGTGTAGGGGGAGGACCAGAGAGAGAGGGAGACACAGAATCTAAAGCGGGGTCCAGAATCTAAATCAGTCAGCACAGAGCCCAACGAGGGGCTTGAACTCACAAACCGTGAGATTAGGACCTGAGCCGAAGTCGGATGCTCAACCGACTGAGCCACCCAGGCGCCCCTGACTACGGTGTTCTAAACCCAGCCCTGCCACTTGCTAGCCATGTGACCTTGGGCAAGTTACAGAACCTTTCTAGGGCTTGTTTTCTGCATCTGTAAAATGAGGAGAGTCATAGTCTCTACCTCGTGAAGCAGTTCCGATAACTAAATGAGATAAACCACGTAAAGGGTTTCACCCAGTGCTTAAGTAACATGTAGTTCTCAGTAATGTTAGCTATTATCACTATTTTGTAAGAGAGAAAACGTACCTCTGCTCCTTGTTGCCTTTCTAGAATTTTCTCTTTCAGCCTCTTCCATGGTATTAGGGACCTAAGAGAATGGTGATGATTTTGACTATTGCCAGTCACAGGTGTCTCTCCATTCCTACCGAACCTAGATGATATGCTGCATGCACCCTTCCAGGAAGCGGATTGTATGTAGGCCTGGGGGCTACCTCCAGTCCGTCGCATATTCTCCTCCTTCTCCCTCTCCTCCTTCGTCCTTTTCTTCTTCTTCCTCTTCTTTTTCTTCTAACCTTCAAAGGTGTGAAAACTGTAAAAACTTGGGGCACTGGGTGGCTTAGTCGGTTAAGCGTCGTCTGACTTTGGCTCAGGTCATGATCTTGTGGTTTGTGGGTTCAGGCTCCGCATCGCACTCTGTGCCTGCAGCTCAGAGCCTGCAGCCTGCTTTGGATTCTGTCTCCTTCTCTCTCTGCCCCTCCCCGGCTTGCACTCTGTCTCTCTCAAAGATAAATAAACATTAAAAAAAAAAAAAACACAAAAAACTGTAAAACCTAATCTTAGCTCAAGGGCCACACAAAAGCAGCCTGTAGACCATAGATTGCTGATCCTTACTCCCATCTGACCCTCCCTAACATGGCCAGAGTCTTGAATCTTGGGGCTATTCTCTTCATCATTCAAGTCAAAAGATGCTAATCAAAAAGACAGTAAGTTTTCATGTTAAAAATGGAGTCCAGTTGAAAAATAGCACTATCTCCTCTCCCACCCCCAAACTCTCCCACACGCCTTACATATAAAGAACTTTGAGAGTTCCCTTCCTGAGACCAAGAAAGGATTTGTAAAGGAATCCATCAGAGCCAGTTTGACAAATGCTCCACCATGAATAAGCTCTGTGCCTGTGAAATTACTCCAGATTCACTTGGAGCCTCAGTTGTGATTTCAATTTTAAATTCCTGGGGTTTTTGCGCCATCAGGTCTCATGTCTGGAGCAGTCACGTTTTAGGAAAAGAGCATCTGTTGCTGTGAAGTAAACGAACTGTAATGAACACGAGCATACTTTTTCACAGCAAAAAATGAAAACCCCAAAATGCAGGCACAACCTTTGTGAAATGACAGTATTAAATTGCAAGAGACGATGGTAAAGCAAATATTTAAATTCACAGCTAAAATAGTGCTTGTAAAATGTAATTGCCAGGGAGAGCATGCCAGCTTGTCGCTCTTTAAGCTAATTCTCTGCAGGCAGAATCATTCTACACCGTTCTAAGAAGAAATGCTTATTTTAAATAAGCTGCTTTCTGGTTCTTTTAAAACTGCACAAGTAAGCTTTATTTACCGGGGACGATTTCAGTCTTTGAGCTGTTCGTGGGCAGGAGAGGTCTCCTGCTGCCTGGGGGCTGCCTGGGCTGATTTGTCCTGGGCTGCAGCTATGCTCCATTTGTTCCTAGGAGAGTTCCAGCGATGGAGGTGATGGCATTTTTGGCGAAAAGAAAGATGACAGCCGGGCAGGTGAGACTGTGTCCTTCTGAAGGCAGAGCAAAGTAAAGTCCCAGTTTGTAGTTATCCTGGAGTTCATGTGTAATAAAAGTGCTCTTTCTAAGGAGGCTCTTTTGAAGAGCCTAGAAAGTTGGCCTTTATCACAGTCTCCTGGAGTCACACATGGAGCTTTAACGTGGCTCTGGCAAGCTTCCCCCACCTGTCCTCAAAATTTGGAAGTGAGGTCAATGATATCTGAGGACAGGATGGAGTCAGAGAAAGAAGAATTGTGGTTTCATTGATGTATTATTCGTTTAATTAATTTGAGGGGAGGAAAGTTAGGGAGGATTGGTTTGGTGTGGTTCATTTTTTTCTGAATTCAGACCTGGAAGACTTGGTTGGAATACCCAGCTACACAAAGCCCCTAGTTCCATATGGAGAAGGCCACACAGGGCCTCCTTGTCCCCACGCCATAGAGCAAGGCCCCCAAATTGGTCCTGCATGTGAGAGATGCTGAAGCCAGCCGCAGCCTGAAGCTGTTCCTACCGCGGCATTGCGGGCCTTCCAGCTGTGCTTTAGCTCCTGAGCTGATAGATCAGCTTCTTGAGTCAGCTTTGTTTTTATTGAACCCAAACGACAAAAACAGCCACCTTTGTTTTGGTTCTGTTTGTAAGTACTAATATCCTCACTGATGTTTGAAGCCCAGGATGGCTCCGACCCAGACAAATCACCCTGGCCAGTTCCGTCTGCTCTCACGGCTCGGCTCAGACGTCTGGTCACCGTGTACCAGCGCTGTAACCGCAAGGAACTCTGCCGACCGGAAGTCCTGGGACCAGGTAACCAAGGATACTGGGTCCAGGAAGAGATGTTCAGGAGAACCTCAGAAATGGATCTCATCAACAAGGAAGCTCAAAAGAGGTAAAAGCCAGTGGCCAAAAGGGCATGCAGAACTGCCCACTGAGTAAAGGTGACGAGGGAGAGCTGATCGCTGGAGAACAAGTGTATTTAATGTTCTCACGTGAAGTTAGGTGGTCTCCAGAACTAATCCAATCCAGGCTCCAACTGCGATGGTGTGGTCATACTGACTGGAGAGTTGGTGAGATCTAGGAAACAGTTTTGTTCCCAAGTCCCAGACTTCTGTGATTTTCCAACTTGACCCCCTTCCTAAGTTGGACCCCAGTCCCTGGAAATGTGGTTTAAAATTAGCATATATCAGACCGTGTTCTTTTAGCAGCGAAGTGACCAGTGTGTGATGAAGGTGCCATGTTATAGTTACCAGTCCTTATCAAGACTTTGAAAGCAGTAAGCCCTATAAAATGCCTGCTCAGAAGGAGGGGATAAATTATCAGGAGTTACTTGCCAATCTGAGAATTACGATTAAAATGGCTACAGAAGGCCAGCACAGTCTAGGAATGATGCCACCAGAAAAAAATGAACAAAGCTGCAGTTCTTTTAAGTCTTTCTGTCCATCTTTTTTTTTCTTATGTAATTTTTTTTAAATGTTTATTCTTAGAGAGAGAGAGCACAAGCAGGGGAAGGGCAGAGAGAGAGGGAGACACAGAATCTGAAGCAGGCTCTGGGCTCTGAGCTGTCAGCACAGAGTCCAGTGCGGGGCTCGAACTCACGAACTGTGAAATCATGACCTGAGCCGAAGTCGGACATTTAACCGACTGAGCCACCCAGGCACCCCATCTCTCCATCCTTCTGATGTAGCATCCACTGAATTAAAAGAACACCAAAGAGAAAAAATAGCAAACTCAGTTACTTCTGTGTATACCTTCTGACTTTATGAAATTTGGTAATTCAGAGAAAATATTTCTTCCATCTTTCACAGCTCCGAAGAGAACCCGAGCCCTTCTTGCCTGCTTCTCATTCTTCCTGTGACTCCCTCACCCCACTCCTGGCCTAACTCCCTCCGGGGATGGAAAGTACTATGCCCAAGAGCCCCTCATAAAGACCCTGGGCCGGGTATAATATTCCAGCCACCTTACATCAGTATCTTAACCCTGCAGGATATAGAGACTAGAGAACCTTTGTGTCCTAGATATGGGCTACCTACCTACATAAAACTGGAAGAAAGCCTATGTGAAATGGGGGAGATGTGTGGCTGAGGGAGTCACTTCCCTTCTCTGGACCAATTTCCTCATTTGGAAAAGCAAGGAGGTGGCTTTAAGGCCCTCCAGGACTCTCTGATTCTGTGTTGTCTTACCGGGGGAAAAATAAATAAAATATTGAAGCGTCTTCATCTAAAATGAAGATTTTAGAGTCTTCATCTCCAACAAGTGGAAACAAACTAGGTAATCTAAAATTAATGAATCAAGAGATAGCAAGTCTGTACATGTGACTTAGAAATGGAGAGATAAATACCATAAGAAGTTGAAAGATTTGAAAGTAGTGGTAAGGTAATAGGCTGTTTTCATTATAAGCCTCTCAGCCCAATTTAACTTAAATAAAAATAATAAAGTAGGCAAACCGCCCTCCCTGCTTTCTTGACTCTATGGGCTGTCCTAGTAGGTAGGCACTCAATAAGTAGATGTTGGCTTTTTTTTTTTTTTAAGGGAAAACAGCTCACTCTCCCTTTCTGATTAAATCCGAAGGTGGACTAGGAGAGAGCAAGCAGACTTCTACAGAGCAGTGTCCTCCTTTGGGGTTGTTTATGATCAAGAAAAGAAAACTTTTGACTGGACGCAGTTCCGCATCATTTCCCGTTTGGACAAGAAGTCGGATGAGAGCCTGGAGCACTATTTTTATAGCTTTGTGGCCATGTGCCGGAACGTCTGTCGTCTGCCCACATGGAAAGATGGTGGTGAGCAAATTCTCTGTGTATCCCCGATACACAGGAAAGGGGCATGTTTATTTTCAAGGTACAGAATCACTTCAGGTAATCCTGATCATGAGAGTGGAGTCTACCTGAAGAATTCAGGTAAAGTCAAGTGGGTTTTCACAAGTTCCTGAACTGCTAATTGGGTCCGCCCTCATAAAATAAAATCTCTCTCCCAAAATGATGCAGCTTCAACAAAAACTGAAATTCAGGTAAACATCTCACAGAAGAATTGGGAGACTGCTGTTAATTAACCTCCAGTGGATCATTAAGTCTCGTACAGATTGAATTCTCTGGTGAACTTTGCTCCGTCCTTAGATTACATCTTAGTAACTTGAACTATTTTTCCATGTGTTGAATTGTAGCTATAGAAAGGAAGTGGCTGTTTTAAACATCCCCTGCTCCAACAGGGACGCCTTCAGAGTAATTGCTTCTTGGTTAAGATTTGCAACAGCTTCTTCCTTGATATCCCTCTTCTGCCTTTGTTTGTAGATAAACTTGGTCTGGACCATAGGACTGTACTGTAGGAAAGCTACAACAAATACAGAGCCCACCCAGCGTGCGTTCTGGGCTGACGGCAGCATGCACACACGTCCCCGCTTCTGCCCCCATGTGACACGGTTAGGGTGTTTTCATTAAAACCAAGGAGCTGGATAGAACACAGGGAGCCGGGCCTTGCAGCCCCACTGATGAGACTTGGACTCGAATCCTGGTTCTGCCCTGTGGAGCAAGTTAGCGTATTTGAGCCTCCTTCCCCATCCTTTAGGCAGGGCTGACAATGCTGTAGCGTAGCATAGCCATGAGAGCCGAAGGGCACGTAAAGGACTTTGGGTACAGGGCACCGAGTACATGCTTACTGAATGAGAACTCATGTCACCTCCAGAACTGAAGTTCTCATGTTCCTTTCACCTTTACTGGGTCTGTCCTTGTTTCATAAAAACCTTCCATTGTCGTAGCTTTTCCGTGTAGCAGGGGCACACTCACCTAGGACTGCATGCTGGGGAGCCAGCGAGTTAAACGCAGAACCAGAGATACAGGGGCTCAGGTGGGCAGCAGTTGTCCTGGGGTTGCCTTCAGTGATGGGCTCTGTGTTGGCCTTTCCAGGTCCCCCAGATCCCAGCATCTATGTGGAACCCATCACGGAGGAACGGGCCGCGAGAACCCTTTACCGCATTGAGCTGCTGCGGAAGGTCCGAGAGCAAGTGCTGAGGTGTCCTCAGCTGCACGAGCGCCTCCAGCTCTGCAGGCCCAGCCTCTACCTCCCGGTCTGGTGGGAGTGTGGGAAGCACGACCGAGACCTGCTCGTCGGCACCGCCAAGCATGGGCTGAACCGCACTGACTATTACATCATGACCGACCCCCAGCTGTCCTTCCTGGATGCCTACAGAAACTATGCCCAGCATAAGAGAACGGACGCCCAGGCACCAGAAAGTCTCTGTTGCCTTTACCAGACCAACTCCAGGCTGTATGAATCTCTTACGTACACTCAGATGAGCAGGACTTCAGAGCCCCTTGAAAATGAACCTGAGAATCTGGTGAAAATAGAAAGTAGAGATGATCATCTCGCTCCACCTGGGGGCAGTTTATCTGACATGACTTGTGACAACTTTATTTCTAAAGTTCAGGATGTCATTTCCATCACCCACGATGAAAGTCTGCTGCCTGAGTCCTTGGAGAGTATGATGTATGGGAAGAAGGCTTACATTCGAGAGCCGGGCTCTCTCCAGGAGAGCCCCAGTACAAACACAGAGCCCAGAAAGGATGCTCTGGCCCTCTCAGCAAGCAAAGATGGGAACTGCCGGCCTGCTGGCCATGAGGCAGAAATACCTTCAGGGCCGTCTTTTATGAGTAGCTTAGAAGCAGGGGTAGCTCAGATGAACATCAAAAATGGAAAACATCTGTTGCTGTCTCTTTCAAGGGAAGGGGATGTCTGCAGTGAGGCAGGGCAGAGGCCTGAAAGCATTGGGCAGCTAGAAGCCAAACACTTAGCTTCCCCTTCCTTGGATCAGGGAAATGAAAGTGGGTTTGTAGATATGTGCCATCTTAGTGTCTGTGATTCCAGAAGAAGCTTGTCATCAGACCAGCAGTTAATTGATTTATTAGAAAACAAAAGTTTAGAAAGTAAATTGGTTTTGAGTCAGAACCACAGTGAAGAGGAGGAGGAAGAGGAAGAGAATGAGGAGGAGAACGTAGGTGTGACCATAGGCCTGAGGGAAAGGCCCGAGGTTTTGCATCTAGCCGAGCCCACTGCTAATATCCTAAGGGAAAAGAGCCGAGGCCTCCCTGTGGATGAGGTCAAGAGAGGAAGCCTGGAGGCCATGAGCCAGCATCCTAGACCACAGGGGGCTTTTCCTCCAGCAGCCTGTCAGTGTCACTGCAAGCACACGGAGAGGTGGGCACGTGGCCTCGAGAACGAGGAGTTTGAAGTGGACAAATCCAAGGGTTATACCCCAGACCTGTACAGAAGCAAAACGAATAGTATCACAGTGGAGGGTGAGCCCACCGCTCCTCCATCAGAGCCCTTTCAGGGAAAGCACGAGCTGTCAAAAGAACCTTGGAAGGAAAATGCAGAAGGCAAAAAAGTTTTCCCTGCATATCCAGAAGCAAGTGAGCTCAAGTCCGAAGACATGGATTTTGAGAGTAAAGATGATTACGACAGAGATGGGAACAGCCATGCTCAAGGTATAGTCTGCACAGTCTGTGGTGTTCTGGGTAAGTCAGTTCTCACGTGACAGGGAGGGGGCAGGGTGGAGGGAGGGTCAGGAGATGGTGTGGCTTCTGAGAGGGACCTGCCCGCTCTCCTGTGGTTTAAGATCAAAGGTCACAGGCCTTGGTCTGAAAGTGAGACAGAGTAGCTCAACTCTGATCATTCTAGAACTGAAGATGATTACGGACAGTCGTAGCACCTTTGCTGCACCAGCCTTGTGATTTGGGCAGGGCTGTAGGCTTCTTTCTGTACAGTAGGTGCTAGATACATTGTTGGGGGAAGTTACTTGTTCTTCGCTAAGGGACGTGCTTCAAACTGGTCAAAGTAAAAACACCTGGGAACATCAAGAACCTGCAGTTTTGTGTAGGTGTAGTTAATTTTTCAGGAACTCCACAAAAATACAAATAAATGTGATCTTTATTAAGGTGAGCAAAGATAGGACCATTTATTCATGTTATCGTCAAAACCCGTGAGTCAATGTTGGTGCATTGAATTTAAATTCATTTTAGTAAGTTAACAGGAATAAGAATACAAAATTACAAGTAACTCAACAAAAATACAAATAGATTTGGTCTTTTTAAATAAATTCTTAGATAAGGCTTCAAGTTAAGATGACTTTCTAAATGTTAAGAATCTACCTGACTCAGATATTTCTGTGCTTTTGCAAAGGTATATTGATTAGAGACTCCGAGCAACAAGAATTGGTTTTTACCTTTTTCACTGGTGTTTTTACTCCTTCAGACCCAAGAGGACATATTACAATGGACAAAAACAATTCTGTTTATCCTTGTCATTGTCAAAAACAACCAAAAGCCAAAAAAAACCAGTTCATGCTTGGCCTAATGCCAGGTGTGGTGCTCAGAGATTGAGACAGACACAGCTTCCTCCTTCTGGGACAGTGCCCTTCTATCAAAGCAGGAAAAAGGGAGAGGAGCTCAGCTGAGCCCCCCTGCATGATCTAGCCTCCTTTTATTTGTAAGCCCCTTACCTTTGGCTTTAGTCATTGTGATGTCTCTTGGAACGAGTTCCAAACCCAAGCTAAACTTTACATGCTACCTGGGATAATGACAGGCCACTGAAAGTAGCTTAGGTCGACTTGTAGCCCCAGCTGACCCAAGGGGAGCCAGTCTCTGACCTTGTGCGTCCTCAGCCTAGGCTACAAAGGATCACTGCTTTGTGACCCACATTGTGTTTTGAACCTTGTTATGGGGAAAATCACCGAACAGTCCTTGGAAATCCAGACGGTGAAATGAGTACAGGGCGTAGAAGGGTATGGTTTAGGGGAGAAACCTCTGTGCTCTGAGGCCCTTTGGCGCAGCATCAGCTTGATGAGCTTTGGTGAGTGGCACACTCACGGGCAGGCCCCCTTGCACCAGTGCTTTTAAAAATGGTTTTAAATTAAAAAAAAAATGTTTTATGGGGCAAATCTTTTTCTGGGTGGCTCAGTGGGTTGAGTGTCCGACTTCAGCTCAGGTCAAGGTCTCGTGGTTCGTGGGTTCAGGCCCTGCATCAGGCTGGATGCTATCAGCACAGAGCCTACTTCGGATCTTCTGTCCACCCCCATCCCCCACTCTCTGCCCCTCCCCTGCACACTCACTCACTCTTTCTCTCTCATAATAAGTAAATGCATGTACACACACACACACACACACACACACACACACACACATAACATAACATATATGCTTTTGCAGGCCTCAGAGGGGGTCCTCCACAAATAGGAGATGTGGAACAGGTTGGGCAGTAATTGGTACAGCTGTCAGGGCCAGCCCCCAGGTCTCCTGGCTCTTTTCCAGGGTTTTCTCTCATACATCTTTTTTTTTCTTTCTTTCTTTCTTTCTTTCTTTCTTTCTTTCTTTCTTTCTTTTTTTTTTTTTTTCATAAAACTTAAATCCAGGCTCTCTGCTTAAAACCTTTCAGGAATGCTCCCCATTAGATCTAGAGTAAAATTCGAATTTTCTATCATGGCCTACAGGATTCAGCATCATCTAGATGATTCTACCCATCCAGCCTCATTTTTGTACTTTTCCCCTGGATGTGTCTCTTTGTTCCTCAGCACGTCCAAAAGAAGCATCCTCCTCCTCTTCTTGGGTGTTCTCTCCTTCAAGAAGCCCTCTTTACCGGCCTTACCTTCTACCAGCAGGTCCTTCCAAAGCTCTTTTTCCCTATCATAACAGCTTGCTTCTTTTTAAAGCATTTGCCATGGTTTGTAATTGTAGTTATTCGTTTATCATTACTATTTTCCTGTCTTTCCCCCATGAAATCATAAGAGTCTGAGGGTCAGGGCCACATTTGTCTTGCATATCCTTGAATCCAATGGCCTGGCAAGGCCCTGTTTGTGGTCAGGGGTCCCCACAGCTCCCTAGACTGGTGCACAGTCAGCAGTGAAATCTCCACCTCTGTGTTTCAGAGGATCGACATTCCTTGTCATTTCACAAGGAAAGAGGCACACAGCTTTTCCTGCCCTGGACATTTTGCTACCCTGTGTTTATTCCCTATCATTACTGGTAAGTGGATCTTTGAAGATCCATTTCACACTGATAATAAACTTTCACTACTGAAACTTGAAAGAATGAGCTGCGTTTCCATTTGTTTCCATCATGATATAAATGTTCTAGGTTCTTTGCATCATTGTTGACATGAATCAGGTCTATTTTGCCTTTGTTGTAAGTGTCAGGACCTCCCATCCTTCATTAACATCAGCGTCTTGCTGTGGACTGTGCCTTCAATGCATCAAAATATTACAATGTTCAATTTCCTCTCCTCAGCTACTCTACATGAGCCTCTTGCTGCTCAGCCTGCTCTCATTCTTGGATACACAGGACAATCTCCTCTTTTGTTGTTTTTGTTGGGGTGTGGATGCAGAGTTATCACATGACTTGCATGGATAGCCCTAAAGAAGGATCTGCATTTTGGTTCTTCCAGAACCTTCTGGAAAGAGAAGGCATGGTCATTAATGTTTAATTTCAAATAAGTTAGCACCGAATGAGCTAATTTTTTGAAAAGACAGATCAGGTGTCCTAATCTTTCAGATCATTACTGTCTCCCAAGTACCAAATTGATTTTTTTAAACCCTTCTTTGCAGATTACCCAGGGAAATACTCTGAAGAGGAGAGCAAGAGCTCAGCATCAGGCATTGCTGGAGACCTCGGGGATGACCTACAGGAGGCTCGGGCTCCCACCATTGCTCAACTGCTCCAGGAGAAGACCCTCTTTTCCTTCTCTGAGTGGCCAAAGGTACCTCACAGAGTGTGCATTTTCTACCCAAAGCCTTCTCAGCTTGTAGAGTATTTCTGAATAATAAATTCAGAGAAATGTGTAATATCTTGAAAAGGTATTAGTAATGGTAACATTTGGACACTAAACACATACACACTCGACTAATTAGACGATAATATAAAAATGTCTTCGTATTTACAGCACTATGGCTTTAATTTTCATTGTCCGGACCATAGAACTTATTTTAAGACTTGTAAAGTGAGTACATATGAGTGTGCTCTTTTCTAATCAACTCCTTCTGCTCAGAAAACTTGACACGTGATCTCAAGGGACTTAGTGAATTTGAGTAGCTTGGTGATTACTCCTCATAGCTTTTGGTCTTTTTTATAGGATCGCGTGATAATCAACCGCCTGGATAATATCTGCCACGTGGTGTTAAAGGGGAAGTGGCCTTCCAGCCAGCAGTACGAGCCCCCGGGCACACTGCCCACCCCTGTGTTAACCAGCAGTGCTGGTTCTCGAAGCAGCATCTCGGAGCCAGAAACATCAGAACACAGCTTCAGCAGTGGTGCAGCATTGGTGGCCCAGATCCAGAAGGTGAGGCCATAGCGTGGGGCTGACTATGCAGCAGAGAACAGGGACACATGGCTCTTCTCAGTTAAGTCATTCATTCAGCAAACACTGACTGAATGGATAGGACTTTTATTCTTTTTTTGTGCAGTCATTAGTTTAATTGAAGAATTTAGATTTTATCCTGTAGGCAGCAGGGAGCTACTGAAAGTCTTAGGGCAGGGAAATGCATGACGAGAGCAGAGTTTACAGCTCAGCTGGAGGAGTGTGCGGGGCTCTTGGGACGTGAGCGTCAGGAAAGAAGGGTGCCAGCGGCTGGGAGGCCAAGGGTGGGTCTGATGAAGAGTTGAGGTTCTAGACCAGGTTAGTGGCAGAGTGGATCTAAACCGGGTGGGACGGGGGTGGGGGGGAGTTGGAAAGCATGACTTGATAACTAATAAACGGATAAGGAAAAGGAGGCGTGAATGGATCAGATTGGTGTGTTCGGTACTTGGAAGGCTACGAGAATAATGGCAGCTGATAGAAACTAGGGAAATCAGAATGGGTTTTATAAACTCAGGCTTACAAGTAAGGTCTAATTTGAGGTACGTTGTTAGCACGCTGGCTCTCAACCTTCAAGTGCACAGTGGAACCTGCTGGGGACCTTGAAAAGCTGCTGGTTCTGATTTAATTGGTCCAGGGTGTAGACTGAGTATTGGAATTTTTTTTTTTTTTTTTTTTTTAATTTCCCAGTAGATTCTGATGCACAGCTGAGGCTGAGCTTCCCTGAGATCTAGTTCATGGACTAGCAGCTTTAGTAGCACCTGGACACCTGTTAGACATGCACAATCTCAGACCCACTAAAGTAGAATCGACATTTTAACAAGCTGTCCAGGTGATTTGGTGCTAAGGGTTGAGAAACCTTGAGTGGAAAGAACTTCTGTGAAGTTGATTAGGAATTTACTAGGCTCAAGGAAATCAGGCCGGGAGAAAGAGCTACCATGTGGCCACGGAAGTGGCATTCACCCCTCTCTTGCCCCCTGTGTATGTTCACAGGAGAGCTTCCTGGCTCCAGTATTCACAAAGGATGACCAAAAGCACAGACGGCCCTATGAGTTTGAGGTGGAGCGGGATGCAAAGGCGCGGGGTCTGGACCAGTTCTCCACCACCCACGGGCACCCCCCCATCGTCCTCAATGGCTGGCACGGGGAGTCCGCAATAGACCTCTCCTGCACTTCAGACGGGTCCCCAGGAGCCGCGTCTCCTTTCCCACTGAGTGCCAGCACCCCTAAGATCGGGGCTATCAGTTCACTTCAAGGAGCCCTCGGCATGGACTTGTCTGGGATTCTGCAAGCTGGCCTGATCCATCCAGTGACAGGACAGATCGTCAACGGAAGCCTCAGAAGAGATGACGCTGCCACGAGGAGGAGGAGAGGGAGACGGAAACATGTTGAAGGAGGGATGGACCTCATCTTTTTGAAGGAGCAGACACTTCAGGCAGGAATCTTGGTGGGTATATGATGCCATTAAGTAAAAAACACTAACTTTTTTTTTTTAAGTTTTTATTTATTTATTGAGGAAAAGAGAGAGGTAGAGTAGGGGAGGGGCAGAGAGAGCAGGAGAGAGAGAATCCCAAACAGGCTCCGCACTGTCAGCACAGAGCCCAATGTGGGGCTCAAACCCATGAACCGTGAGATCATGACCTGAGCCAAAGTCAGATACTTAACCAACTGAGCCACCCAGGTGCCCCAACACTGACCTTTCTACACTGAGCAACAGACCCTTCCCCAGACACCCAGTTTTTTAATTTATGGATTTTTTATCCCTATTTCAGTTGTCCCACTTGGGGTCTCTTGTTGTAAGTTGCCCTCAGTCTTTTCTAGAAACGCATTTAATCCATTATGGACCCTTCACCTGCATGCAGCCTGGAGATAGGAGCCAGGGGTCTTGACATTTCCAGTACAAACAGCCCATATCCCCCAGTGTTTTGGAAGAGCCACTGGTGATGGAGTTAAAGCAAATGGCAGGGTTGAGTTTGTGGCAGTGGCATGCGGATTGGCAGGCTTTCCAGGAGCTGCTGGGGGTCAGGATCCTGAAAGTTGATCCTGGCTCTACTGCTTGACATAGTGGGCGACATGGGGTGCACCACTGAGCCTCACTGCTCTGTAGTGGGCCCACAGCATCTCCCACAGAGGGCTGCCATGAGGAGGGTTCACCAGAGTCACGCCAGGACCCCCTAAACCCAGAGGAGATTATTGTAAACAACAGACAAGGTTAGAAGCCGTGTGCCTGGCCAGGAGAGATCCCCATAGACTTTTCTTAATGTGTCAGAGACAACTGACTTCTCTTTGTGTCTTGGTTTTTCCTACTTACTGAATTTCAAGCTCCAAAACAGGAATCACATTTCATGTTTTATTGTAAAAGGAATAATAGTAACCAGTATTAATGAGTGCTTACCGTGTGCCAGGCACTATGTTCAGGGTTTTGTGTGATTGTCCTATTTGATCTTCACAACTCTGTGAAGGTGGTGTTGTTACTCCCATTTTATGGATGAGGAAACTGAGGCTTACAAGCATTAAATAATTTTCCCAAGGTTATCCAGTAAAGTGGCAGATCAGGGAACCAAACCAAAGACTTTGTTCACTGGGACCCGAGGGCCTTATTTTTAAGCTCTGCTATTTGGTATATTTTAAAGTTTTGTCTTCCTCTTAGACTTTCTGTATAATGTGGGAGGCTGAAGTGGCAGGTTCTTTCCCTGCCCAGTCCTGCAAGCTTTTAAGACCGTTGTCTCATTTTTTAGAGGTGCAAGGCCCTAGTTTCTTTGTAGTGATCATAGATTGGCAGTGGAATGACTAGGAAAACATTTAGCAGTGGAATGACTAGGAAAACAAATACTCTTGGCCTCAGAGTATTTTTAAAAATGTATTATGCAAACATATATCTGGCACCATATTGTACTTCGTGGACCCGATTATAGGCATTGGGAATACAGAGATGGGTAACACAGCTCTTCAACCTGTAGAAGGAAGAAGAGGTAAGTAAATTGCAGTGTGGCATTTCCGGTTATGTGGAAAGCCTGTGAAGGGCGCCGTGGGGGAGCAGGAAGTAGAGTGGCCTGTGCTCTCTGGGATGGTCATTGATGGTGGCAAAGGAGGTAACACTGAACCTAAGCAGACAGGATGGAATTAAAGGTTACCAAGCAGACAAGACAGGGAGAGAAGCATTGGGTGGAGGGAACGCCAGCCCCTGCCGGAGCGCGCGTGTGGGTCAGTGGCGTGGAAGATTCTTACTCAAGCACCCCAGCACAGTAACATTCGGGGGGAAATGGATGGAAAGGTACAAAGAACACCTTACGTGTTTTCCTTTCAGAAACTGGTTTTCATTCTGTCATGGTTAACTGCATGTACTTGTTTCTCATTCGTCCAGGAAGTCCATGAAGACCCAGGGCAGGCGCCCTCAAGCGCCTCACATCCGGAAGGGCCGGTGTCTGCCGCTTCAGCCCCTGAGCCAGCCCCAGCAGCTGGCAGCCAGGCTGAGAAAGCCATTCCCAGCAAGAGTCTCCTTGACTGGCTGAGGCAGCAGGCTGATTACTCCTTAGAGGTTCCTGGCTTTGGAGCAGTAAGTTTTGTTGGTTCTGCCCGACCTGCCATTTCCTTCCCGCTGATGGGGTGCTGTGTTTGACGAGGAGCATGCTCGGGGAGCTTGGGAAGTTTGGGAGAGATCTGTGTTAACTGAGAACATCATTTTAAAGTTTTGTTTTTTGGGATTTTTTTTAAGTTTAAATTGTCATTGAGTTTCTAGTAACAAATCACAGCCCCTGTCAGAATGCTGTACCAAGTCGTTGCACAAAACCTTATGAGGACAGAATTTGCCTAAACTCAGTACCCCTGTCTCCCAGAACGACCACACCAGACCCTAAGTGCACAGAGAAATCTTTATGTTGCATAAACAGTGCCGCTTCATGAACATGTCCCTATGTATTCTTTCCACTTGAAAATATGACCACTTTGTAGGGAGGAGTGTCTGCTCTTAGCTTGAGTTACTGCTTTGGGACTCGTCCTTCAAGTCCTTCTACTGCCTTTGCCCCAGATCCTTCAGATTAGAAATCTGTATGACCACTGAGGTCTCTTCTTGGTTTGCCTTTTCTCATTTGTTCGTCTACCCCACCACCGTCTTTGTCCTGGGTACATCTAACTGATAAGATGTGGAGGTAGAGAGCTCACAAGAAAAGGAGGAGAGTGCATTCACAGATGCATACCCTCCAGAGACAGACAGAGCCCACCAGGTAGGTAGTGGTGGAGAGAGAATTGGGGGAAATGATGAGGAGGTGACAGCTAGAGATTAAACAGTACTCTGGGAGACTAGTGAGTCAGCTCAGGTCTGACAAGGAAGCCCACACATCCTGCTCTCCAGCTGTAGGAACACTGTGGCCTCAAAGAAAGCCTCGCTGAGGGCCTGGTAGCTGTGTCTTTCAACCTAACCTGACTGGGTCCTGTACAGAGGGCCATTAATGAGACAAGAGCAAAACCAGCCGAAAAGCCCCACCCTCCTCAGAAGAATCTGTGACAGAATGTTTTGTAATGTTGATTTCCATTTGCCTCCTAGAATTTTTCAGACAAACCAAAGCAGAGGAGGCCACGCTGTAAGGAACCTGGAAAATTAGACGTCAACTCCCTGAGTGGGGAAGAGAGGGTTCCCGCTGTCCCCAAGGAGCCAGGACTAAGGGTAAGGAAGAGGGACGTGTCCCAGTGGAGCCAAGCCTTGCGGACTTGGGGAAAGCTCCAGCTGGGAAGTAGGGAGCCAGGCAGCATCTCCCGAGAGGACAAGAGGCCAGCACGGGAGGAAGTTGATAAGTAGAGATAAGTGGTACTGGGGCCTCTTCAGCAGCAGTAGGACTTCCCGTCGTCCTTTGTTTTCACCCTTTACCTCCAAAACTTTTGGTTTAAATTTGTACTTTAACTATTTCCAAAACTTGATAATCCCCCCTTCCCCATTACAGTGTAGAGAGTTCAGGGAGACCTTAACCCCTGTCAGGAGTCTGTTTCTAGTGTTAACAAATGTCATTATTGGAAATTTCCATTTAAGACATTTCCTCCTAGTCCATCCTCACTGGTGATGAAAAACACCTGACTCCAAGCCCTGTCCTATTCCTCGTATAGAATCATGAGCCTGGAAGAGACTTCAAAGCCATCTGTGAAATACTTGTAGCCTAATGCATCTGAGTTAACTATAGCTCAGAGTAGAGTTGGAATAGCAAAGATAGAACCTCTAGGGGGCAGTAATAACACTTCAACCTGAAAATGTCAAGCTTAGGCAAATCATACATAAATGCACTTCTAACCTCCTAAAAGTGCATCCTCCCCAAACAGGGAGCCTCTCAAGAGCCTCCTGGGCATCTGCCCCTCTCGGGTTGTCCCCCCAAAAGCATGGGCTTTCCTAAATGCCTTCTCCTCCAGGCTCTGCCAGCTGGGGTTTTCCTTGGGTACGAATTCCCTGCTTAGTGGGATTGCCTGGATGTGATTTTCTTCTTTCAGCTCCAGAAGACCACCCACCCTAGTCATTTCCTCCTCTTGCAGAAGGAAGTTGTTACTTAGTGTTTTAAAGGAGGCTGTGACCGATGTCACCTGGTGGGTTGGTCTAGCAGCTCTTCACACATACCTGCTCCCCCCTCATCCCCATCCCCCACAGCAGCCGCTCCGGGAGTGGGGCTGGGGCCCCGTCCCAAGGTCGGCCGCTTGTCAGAAAGCTTATCACACTGGAAAAGCTGCCCTTTTGCCCCTCTCTTGCTTTACTGTCAGAGAGTGTCGCTCCCACCCCTTTTCTTAGACCTCCTTGTGCTGTGCAAGCTGACACAACTGTAGTTCTCAGCCCAGCCGTCTTTCTCCAGCCCTCATGCCGTCTCCCCACGTTCTCCTTGTGTCTCCACACAGGGCGTCACATGGAAGGCATCCAGGAGAGACTGTGGTCCTTGCTTTGTTGTAGCCTCTGAGCTCTTGGTTTAGAGACGTGTCAGAGAAACCACGTGCTTTCCTCCTTGGCCCTCTTATTTCTTTCTATGTCTAACAATTTCCCTCATGTTCTCTGGAAATTAATGCTCATCACTCTCCTACAGATGCTGACCCTTGCCAGAAAACCCATTTCTAAGCCCTTCTTGCAAGCCAGCCTCTTACCAGAGATGCACTTTTCCTCCCTTGTTAAATAAACACAGTCCCTGCCTCGGAGGCCCTTTTCCTGCAGTAAGGCCAGGGGAGGAAGCACTTGTCTGCCCGGTCCTCAGGGCTGCCCAGCCTCGCCACTGGGGAAGAGCCAGCAAGGCCCAGACAGCAGCACGCTGCTTGACCCCAGGAGGGCCAGTTTCCCCTCAACGCTGTCTCCCACAGCTCCTGCTGGGACAGGAGCCCTCCGGTGTCTTCCCATGGAGACCTCACTCCCCACCCATCCTACCCCTGCTTCTGGAAAACAGATTCAAATCAAGAAACCTCTTCCTTCCTTCAGCCCTTCTGCTGTGTGTGCTGTGGCTCAGCCGGGCGAGCTCCACTAGCCACAGTAAGCCTGTGGGATTCAGCTTTCAGGATGCCCAGTACATAGCGGGCGCTCGTGAGACGTGTGTGTGTGTGCATGCACATACATACGTAAGTTACATTTGTCTAGATGCGTGTATAGATTTTCTGTTTCTTGTTGAGCCATTTGACAGTAACTTGCAGACGTGAGCCCTCACCCCTACATGCTTCAGCCTGTGTCTCCTAAGAATATTTTCCTACCTACTAATGTTATCACACATGTGAATTTTAATATCTAATATCTAGTGTACATTCAGATTTCCCGAATTGCCCCAAAAACGTCTTCTAGGGCTAGTTTTTGTTTCATTCTGTTTTGTGCGTAGGAATTTTAACTTTGCTTCCACACACACCTCCTTTGGTTTGTTAGGTCTCTCTTCAGTCATGAATATTTGTGGGCTAACCCTCCTAACCTTCCTGGGAGGAGCAAGGAAGTTCTGGTCACCACCTTCTCCTCCTCCTCTACCAGGAGTTAAGTTTGAGAGCTAGAATCCACAGGCTTTGGAATACGTGCTTCTGTGTATTGGTGAAGATGTCCTTCTAGGCCTAGAGGAGCAGATTTACCTCCAGTGTTGCTTAACGTCTGACTCTCCTGCTCCCTGCTCTCCTTGCCCTCTCCCCAGGCTTCCCTGGAGGAGGAAACAGATTTGCTCTCAGGGTATAATTACCAGGAGGGAAAGCTGCCAAAGCCCAACTTGGCCGCTGTGTGTGGTCGCCGAGCTGCTGGGAGGGGCACCTGACTAGGGTGGGCAGCAGCTGGGCGGCTGGAGGGACCGTCCCTCCCACAGGAAGTGGTGAGAGCTGACTTCCTCTGCGAGCACCCCTCTCGCATGGCAGTAGGTGAAGAGCCGTTGTCTTCACCCCTGGGACCTTTGTGCTGCTGCTCATCCAGTCTGAAGGGGAGAAGGCAGTATGCCTCCTTGGCAGGTTCCCAGTTCTGAAAGGGCTCAGCACTTTCTCTATGTCAGAGGCTCACAACAAGAGCAGGGGAGGAACATTTCTGGACATCCTGATGCCGGAGGGGCATGCCAAAGGTCCTGCGGGATATAGGGCTTGACGAGGTGTCTAGCCCTAGATGCCCCAGATGCCCAGATGTTAAAGAACATCTGGTTTATAGCAAATTGTTGGAAAAGAAGATGGAGGCATTGTTTATCAAGCCCTGGGTTTACTTCCTAACAGAAAGGCTTCTCAGATCAAACACACCCTCTACTGGAGAGTTAGGAGGGAACTTTGTGGGTATAAAGGAAAAAGACACACCCCAACACCTTTCTCTGGCTCGCGGCTGTGGCTGGGCTGCAGGGAAGAGGTCCTGGAAAAGCCCTGTGGTCCTGTTGCGGCTCCCCTGGCTGGGGCCTTCGGCTGACTGGTGTGCGTTACAAGTTCTGCTTTTAGCCTGGCCCCGGTCCCTCAAGTGCTACTCTCTCTGTTCAGAAATAGGAACCAGGCAGGGATTGCTCCCCAAGTGATCATCCCCAGAGCCAGGGTGAGTGGCTGCCCAGCACCCTGGACACACCGGCCCAGCGAAGAGCAGGCACTGGTCACGGGTGGGAGTAAGAGCCAGTGTGGCGAGGTGCATGCGACAGCCAGGCTGGGAAGGGTCTGCTGTGCCCCTGGGGCAGATCCCTGCTTCTCCCACTTTGTGAGAAAGAAGGGGGGCGCGGGGCGCCTGGGTGGCGCAGTGGGTTAAGCGTCCGACTTCAGCCAGGTCACGATCTCCTGGTCCGTGAGTTCGAGCCCCGCGTCAGGCTCTGGGCTGATGGCTCGGAGCCTGGAGCCTGTTTCCGATTCTGTGTCTCCCTCTCTCTCTGCCCCTCCCCCGTTCATGCTCTGTCTCTCTCTGTCCCAAAAATAAAAATAAAAAACGTTGAAAAAAAAAAATTTAAAAAAAAAAAAAGAAGGGGGGCGCTAAGCATGACAGTATCACCGTTCCCTCAGTTCTGCCAGTCTAAACCGAGGCTTCTGGAGAAGAGTTTTCTTGTAGTCAACCGTCATAAAGCTTTTTGCCTGTGATTGGGTTTTTCTTGAATATTCTCTGGGAAATCGAGGGAGAGATGTAGGACTTCAAAAATAACCTTATTCCTGGGGACTTGGGAACATTCAAATACACATCTTTCACATGTACGGATCTGTAAATCCTTTGTGAAATGGCCGTGACCATTGTCCTGACCCCTCAGGGCTGGTGGGATGACTAATGCACATGGAACCCTTAATGTCTGCCTGATGCAGGGCAGGTGCACATTTAGTGCACTGTCAGTACTCCTGCTGCTCTTCCAGTCCCCACTGCCCCTCTGGGATGGCCACAGTCCTGTCCACACTGCCACTATTGAGGTCCCCATGCCTCCATTCCCAGCCGCTTCTCGGTTGGCAGCCCACCACACAGGTGTGTTCACCGAGGACCCGTGTTACCAACTAACCACATCTCTACAGCTGCCCCTTTAAGCAGAGATCTGTTGGAGTTTCTGAGGATTTGCTTCTTTAACAGTTAGGCAGAAGAGAGGCAGGGAACTGAATGGAGATGCCAGAACTCCTGGATTAAAGTTTGAAGTAGAGGTCCTTAGGAGGGTTGTGAAGAGACATCTTTCTTTTTTCTTCAAAAATTGTTCTAATGTTTGTTTATTTTTGAGAGAGAGAGCATGCACCCATGTGCAAGCAGGAGAGGGGCAGAGAAGGGGGGGACAGAGGATCCAAAGCAGGCTCTGTGCTGATAGCAGTGAGCCTGATGTGGGGCTCGAACTTGCAAACTGTGAGATCATGACCTGAGCCGAAGCCGGACACTCAACCGACTGAGCCACCCAGGTGCCCCAAGGTTGTGAAGAGTCATCTTAACTATTCTCAGACCTGGCTGTCAGTCTCAGCCCTTAGGTGTCCGCGGACTCCTGACTTCCTTTCCTATTTTCTTTAGCAGTCCTGGCCCTAATGAAAGTATTTTTCAGGCCCTTCTGGTGTCTCTTGGTGCGATCTGTCCCTGCCTTCTCACTCCAAGTATGCTCCATTAAGGACTGCAGCTGGGGCCCTGCATCTGAGCCTCAGAGTAGACTGGTGGAGTATCAACTGTGTCTTATCAGGTCCCCACTCCCCACTGCAGACTTGCAGGAAGGGAAGGCGTGCATACAAACGGCTGAGCATCCTGAGAAGGCAGCAGAGTTAGCCGTAGAGACGCGTGGGCTCCTCCAGCATCAGCGCGGGGGGCCTCACTGTTGGGCCCTCCCACGTCATGCTGCTGTGCTGGGGCCTGTCCCGGCTTCCACATTCCAGCCCTGATGGTGACCTGCGTCCCCAGTGCAAACCCACTGTGACGGATCACTAATGGCCACTCAACATCTTTAGCCTCATCGTTGCTGTGATCAAAGAGAAGGTGGCAGAATCACACCAGCTTTGTAACAGGACCCACGAGGAGAAGCCCAGGCAGTTAAGGCTGCTTTCCTTCAATGGCTCAGAAAGGAGAGAGGACTTCCAGGGACCACAGGGAAGGGCTTTTTCTCCATGCTCTTCTCCACAAAGATTGAGACTGCTCAACGGCAATTGTCCCAACGTGCCTTTGAGCCCGTGGACACGCACCGCCTCCATGAGCTCAATGACAGCAGGGAGGAGCGGGAAGCAGTAGAAAGAGGGAAAGGTGTGGTTTCCCGGGTGACGCAGGGGTTCCACGCAGAGGGTCCTGAGAGAAATCTCTCCCTTTCTCTTGCTATGGGGATTATTCGTGCTGCTTTGGGAACAGATTCAGGGTTAGGTACACTGTAATTGCACCGGTTTGTTTAATTCTCTCCCTACAACCAGACGGGAAGCTCTGGCAGAGTGGGCTCTCTGGCAGGCTCTGGTACATCCTCGTCGCCCCCCAGAGCCCCTGAACCACGGTCACGAAGGAAGGAGCGCATGCGGCTGCAGCAAGCCCGCTGCCAGGCTGGTGCTTTGTCCGCCGTGTGGCCTACCACTCACTGATGCCGTTGGAGCAGCAGGTTCCCTGATTCCCCATAGTAAATCGTCCGCATGGCGGTAGCAGAGCATGCGTGGTGCTGGGTGACCCACGTGCAGCAGAGCTGGATGGCGGGCCGCGTGGTACTTAGCCCCGGAGTTCTCCACCAGCTGGGAAAACCAGAGCACGGCCCTCCGATGAGAGGGAAACTAGACTGCCTCCCTTGAGGGAAACCAGAACATCAGTCACTATGATGCGTTTCCCCAGCCACATTAAGAATGCCCTCGTCTCCTCAGCAAACATGTAGACACCCTGTTTGGTGACAGAGTTGTCCTGCAGGAACTTGTGACCCACAGGGAGTGAGGTGTGTGCGGTCACTGGCACCCCTCCAGTAAGCACTTGTTCCTGTGGGTCGGGTAATGTGTTGCACACTTCGCCTCCGGTAAGGCCAGAGAGATGTCATTGTCCTTTCTCACGCTCTGCGAGTCTAACTGAGGTGGCCCGACTCCCACAGCTAGTTACAGAGCTGGGACCAAAATTCAGGTCCATCTCCTGCAAAACTCTGTCTCCCCTACTCTGCTTTGTTGCTTCCATTAAAAAGCTTCCTGTGTCACAAGGAAAATGAACGCTCGCTTTGGTCAGGGCCTTGCAGCTGTTAAGTCTCGCCTAAGACCTGGGTGTCCTTAGCTGGGCTCCAGTTCCCAGCTCTCTGACGATCTCCTCCAGGGAGTGGATGCTGCTGTCGTGTGCTGGTGGTGGCTGGCTCTCGGCCTCCCAAGCCAACGACCTCAGGCGCACCTAGGCTAGAGAGCCGTCGAGGCAGGTAGGCAGGGGGCTCCCACTCAGGTCCTTGGCGGAACAGGGGCAGTCTGGCCCAGTACAGAACCCTGGTCTTCATCCCCAGCCCATCCTGCCCTCCAGTAACCTTCGGCATCTCTTTGTCCTTTTGCAGGGATTTCTCCCAGAAAACAAGTTCAATCACACCCTGGCCGAGCCTGTTCTTCGAGATGCGGGCCCCCGCAGGAGGGGGAGGCGGCCTCGGAGCGAGCTCCTGAAGACCCCTGCCATTGTGGCGGACTCTCCCTCGGGGATGGGGCCACTGTTCATGAACGGACTGATCGCTGGGATGGACCTGGTAGGACTCCAGAACATGAGAAATCTGCCAGGCATCCCCCTCACGGGCCTGGTGGGGTTCCCGGCCGGCTTCGCCACAATGCCCACGGGCGAAGAGGTCAAAAGCACCTTGAGCATGCTGCCCATGATGCTGCCGGGAATGGCCGCAGTGCCCCAGATGTTCGGTGTCGGGGGACTCCTCAACGCACCCATGGCCACTGCCTGCACCAACACCGCTCCAGCGCCTCTGTCAAGCACAACAAAAAGTGGCACAGCAGCGACCGAAAAGACTGTAGAAGACAAGCCGAGTAGCCATGATGTAAAAACGGACACGTTAGCTGAAGACAAGCCTGGTCCTGGTCCGTTTTCTGATCAGTCCGAACCTGCAATAACTACCAGTAGTCCTGTGGCTTTTAACCCCTTTCTCATCCCAGGAGTGTCTCCTGGACTCATTTACCCATCCATGTTTCTGTCCCCGGGCATGGGCATGGCTCTGCCGGCGATGCAGCAGGCCAGACACTCTGAAGCAGTAGGTCTGGAGAGCCAGAAGCGGAAGAAGAAGAAAACAAAAGGGGACAGCCTGAACCCCAACCCAGAGCCTGCTCCCGGGTCCGAAAAGGAGCCAGGCGGCGATCAGAACTGCCCCGAACCCAGGGCCCCCGTCCCTCCAGAGAGAGGACATGTGGCACAGGCCAGGGAAGGGGGCCTCAAAGACTCCAACAGTGACGCCAATTAGAACTGTTTCATTTAAGAAATGATTGTGACTTGTAAGTTTCTTATCCCATAAAGGTTTGTTACTTCCCTCACTCCACCTTCATAAGAACCTGTGTTTCCATAAGTAATATTACCTACCTAATTTTCTGAGAACTGTGGTCACAGATGTTAATAGTTGCAGGGTCTTGCCACTTCATTAGCTGAGTGTCGTCGACCTAGTGTAGGAGGCACAGAATTCTCATTCTGTTACCCAGTTGTTCATTCCAGCAACCGTAGCTAATACAGTATGTGGTGACACACCCTCCCCCCCTTCTCTTCCAAGTTCCCACTCACCTGAGGAGGGACAGTGGCAAAAGAAAGCTGTCTAGGGATTTACCATCAAAGGGCCAAAGAACAGAGACAGAGAGGAGCTCTTTTTTCCGTGAGCTGTGTTGAATGGGAAGAATCTAATGGGGAAACCAAAAAGCACAGAAGAAGGAAGTGCTCGTGCGTATTTTTTAGTTAAGATATTTCCCTATTTTATCATGAGGACTAAATGAGTAGTGTAGACAGAAGTATATAACTAATGGTTGAAAATGCATATATTCATTTCTTTAGAAAGCAAAAACCTTACTGGTAGTAACAGGACATCCCCCTTAATGGTTTTTCAGACACCTGCGGCAAGAAGGAATACTGACGAGGCATTATTTTATACATATGTATGCCGTCTCCCCCACGTAAAGATCGTTCTCAGTATGGAAAAGCTTTACACACCGGGGTTGTTGCCGGCAGTGGGGGCGGGTGAGGGGCTCGTCCTCTGTGGGGCTGGACACTGCTCACCTCACTCTCAAGAATCTCTCCGGCCACCACCAGGCCCTCACAAGTTTTTACTTTGTGCTCCCCTTCACCAAGAGTAGGGCTCTTTCTGGAGCCTTCGAGGATATAGTCACTCAACACTTTTACACTTTGCTAGGTCCCTTCGTCAAATTATTTGAGGTTGTCCGAACTGGTGTGTGCCACCTTTATAAAACGACTGTGAAAGTTTGTTTCTTCTCTCCCATTTTTTTTTTCTCTATTCGGTTTCCATTACACAGTTGGACCCAGATTCCAGATCAGGTTAGTCGAGACTGTTGCAAATTAACATCGTTTTCCCTTCTCACTCGGGAAGCACCTGCCTGAGTGGCGCTTACCCTGCCTGCGTTCCCCTCCCACTTGTGTCCCGCACTCCAGAGGGCCGGTCATGCTCTGAGACTGGAAATAAGCTCGTGGTTCAGGACTCGGGGGGCACAGGGCCCGTGCGGGGGCCGTCGGAGACATTGGAAGTGCTATTGGTACCAGTTTCACTTGGTGTTGCCACAATTTACTGTATTTTTTACTTTTCCTGTTACAGTTTTGCTAATTTATCAGAAGGTCCAAAAGTTTGACATAACTATTTCAGTTTGCATTATTTATTTATGATGCTTTTGTCATTGTCTTTTATACATTTGGGATTATAAATTATGTAAATGTTAAAATGAGCATCTCAAAGAAGTCTGTTAAATTGTGACCGAAGAAAAAAATAAGATGTATCTTCGAACGGTGGAGTTATGAATCAGAGATAAAAATCAGAAATTCTGTAACCGATCGCATAAGAAGAAAGAATCCGTTGATTGAACAAATCCTATTTAATGACATCTTTGTAGCGTAGATGGTCGATAATGCTGACAACAGATTTCTTAGAAATGCTGCTCTCTATTTAACTAACATTTTGTTCAGTTTTGCCTCCAGTGGAAGCAGAAAGGGTTTTTTCAGCTGTTAAATCCTAAAAATCAATATAATTTATTTATGTAAAAAAAAAGTCACTCAATCGATATATTTTTGAACCTTTTAAGTACTAATTTTCTTTTTATCAAGTAGAAAAAAAATGTATTTGCCCTAAATCCTTAAAATACAAATGCTATAAAAATTCATGTATCTTGAAAGCCTTACTGCAAATGAGTATTATAGACATCCAGCAGAGCCTGGGTTTCCTTTGTTGTCCTCGTTGTTGTTTTGTATGGAAAAGCTGCTTTCCCTAGGTTCCACTTAGAACCTCCAGTAGGTCACAGGGTTCAATATGGATTTGATTTAAAAACCCACCAGCATGCTAAACCCCTTGTTATATCTTACCGAACCTGTATGTTTAACTCTCTGGGTGTTTAGGCTTATATTTGACTGCTATTGTGTCCCTGTTTGCAAAATGAAAATGACACTCTGTGGATTATTTGCTCTGTAAGGCATAAGTGCTTCTTATGATTATTTTGACGTTTCCAAGAGCAAAAGCCAAATTTAAACTCTCTTCAGCAAACTTGAGCCTTTTCATCTAAATTCCATGTCACTCACAGCCATAACTTTCCTTGGTCATTCTTCACCCCGTGTCTTACATAATAAATTGTCTGTGGTCTTGATCCTGGATTTAAAAAAAAAAAAAAAACAATTTTAAAAGTCAAATTCAGTGGCACTTGGATGTCTCTTGCTGCCTGGGCCTTGTATAAATACATCATCTGCACACAGCAGTCCACGGTCTTTCCGAGTGCCCACTTTGTTCTGGGCACGCTACTGGGGGCTTGTTAAATATCCATTCACGGGGGTTGATTTGCCTTATCTCTTGACCCACCGGCACACCTGGTTAAAACACGTGCCGTAGAAGGGAGAGCAGTAGAGTCCCTGCTTCCCGGACCTGGGGCCCCCGGGCCTGGGGCCCGAACGCTCCAGCCGCTCCACGCTCCAGCCGAAGCCTCAACTGCGCCACTTTCTAGAAGCCCCGCCTCAAATCACATACCTGGGACCTTGGGGGGGGGGGGGGGGGGGGGGTGGTGGAACCACCGTGGGATCGGAACAGGCCCCAAAACACAGGAGTGCCTCAGAATTCTTAAGGCTTGTTAAGAATTTGGTGGCCCTTAGCTTTCTTCTCAAGCCCCAGAAGGACTGTGTCCAAAGTTGTCGAGGAGACTGGCAGGCAAGTGCTGAAGCCCTGGCCACACAGCCAGACACCCACCAGTTTCGCCCTTGCTGGGTCACCACTAGGGGCCGACGGATGGCGGCTCAAGAGCCTGGAGAATGGGTGAGGCATTGTTCTCTAAGACCCCAGAGTCCTCTGCTGTGGTTTTCCAAGTCAGGGTGTATTCCAGTCTTTGCAGCCCTCCAGTCCAGACGGGGGGAGCCATTCTTCTGGGAAGAGGAATAATTTATGCAGAATAAGTAATAAATAGTCTTGGTTTCACTCTTAACCCCCGAGGCTGCCCCAGTAGAGTCTGCTTCTGTGAGGGCAGAGGAGTGCAATTAGTTTAGTACGTTGGGCTAGTGTTGCAGTGTTTTGTGTGTGTTTGCCATAAGTGACCTCATTTGTCTTCAGAGCGTCTTGGTTACTGGGTAGAGGGCGCTGGCATCCGGTGTGCCTAATGAAAGCCACTGGAAGACAGCAAAGCTGTGTCATCAATCACAGCAGAGCTGGGGCTAACCTCTCCGTCCCTCCAGCCTGAGGTTGGAACAGGCCAGCCTTTGTGATGCCAGCCTGGGACCCCCTCCGCCTCAGAGACCAGATCTGACTGAGTGACTCTCGGGAAAAATTGGCACCGAGGAAAACGGAACAGTTGTGGCCACACCCTCTGGAAAACTTTATGCTTGATTCATTTATAGTGAATTCCTTAAAATGGTTTCTTGCAAGAATTACTGTTCATTTGCCTGGTCTGGAAACCACAGAAGGATGGTCTCTTAGGTCAGTAGTGGGGTTCACCCAGCCCAGTGACCAGCACCTTGGGTTCCAGACCGTGGCTTCTCAAAACCCAGTCTCTGAGGTACAGAAGCATGAGGGCAGGTGCTCAGGACCTTGGTGCATGCTGCCTGGGTGGCCAGTTCTGGGGCCACCCTCATGATCCAGACTCGAGGGGGTATGTGGGGTGAGCCGAGTACAGCTCCTGCGAGGAAGGTGTTCGTGGGATCAGTTTGGATGTGCCTGAAGCTAACGCCGAGACAGTCCTGTTGTCGGATTTCTGGCTCAGCCCTTGCCCGAGGCCCAAGGACAAAGGAATGAACTAGGATGGAGAGAGGGGGGCAGAGGGAAGAGAGATGGGGCTTCTGGGGTCAGGGGGAGGGGCACATCCCTACCTTCTCCAAGCCTCCGTTTCCTCATCTATAGAACAGGGCTAATTGTACCTCGCAACCTAAAGGATTGATCAAAATGACCAGTGTCGGGTGCTGAAAAGTATGCTTGCATATGAGTCATGTATCTTTACCGCTTTTGAGTAGCCGGTGAGGGGAGGAGCACCAGTCTCCTGTCCCCTGGAAGGAGGGTAATCAGATCAGGGATAAGGAAGGTCTTGCTCAGTCCCAAGATCCTCCTGGATCTCTGGGGCCTCCTTCAGTATAGACTTGCCAGATGGAGGGGAGAAAATGACACCCAGTTAGTTTTAATTTCAGATAAACTAATTCTCTTGGTATAAGTATATTCCAAGCAGTATTTGGTACATAATTACACAAAAAACTTTTATATGGCATTCAACTTTAACTAGGCATCCTGTATCTTCTCTGATAACCTCACTCAATGTAACAGTGCACATTTATTTAGCAGGCACCTCCTCTAGTTAGAGCTTGTTCTAAGTGCTTTATGGCCATCCCCTCCATCCCCTCAGTCACTCAAAAGTCCCCATTTTACAGATGAGAGAACTGAGGCCCAGAGAGGTGAAATAACTTGTCCAGGCACCCAACCTGTAAACGACAAGAGCTGGGATTTGGGGACCCAGAAAGACAGATTGCAGAGCCATTAGCCAACCAGGGGATCAGCATGGGCATCTAGTCTGGGCATGAAGCAAACTGCCTTCTGGTGCAGCTTTGGGAAATAGGGTGATAGGAATGGTGAGCAGGGGAAGGGGCTGGGGGGCCAGCTGCCCTGAGAGGGGTAACTGGTGGGGGGGGGGGGGGGGGGGGGGGGGGGGGGGGGGGGGGGGGGAGGTGTTTCCTTCCCATCCTGCTGTGCTAGGCTAGGGTCATTCTTGGAGTCTCATTCTTGGTGCTCAGACACACCAG